GTTCGCCAAAACCAATTGACATGTTTCTCTCATGTAAGAAAGCGAGTTTTTAGTAAAAGGAATATCAACGCCTGAAATCTTGGTAGATCAATTATTTTTCACTTTAGCGTTAGTTGTGAAAATATTGGTAATATTGCTAAGCGGTGATTGCGACTTTTTTTGGCCAATGGTTAACCAAACTGGTAAAGGTATTTACTGGGTTTTCATCATTTTTACATAAACTACAACCATTAAGTGTATGTTCTTCTTGTATGAAATGATTCAATTCATTCCATGCATATTGAGAATAGCGTTTTTTTAAACTTATTTCTTTCGTCTCCACACCATCGATGTTTTTTCAGAAATACTGCCAAATCATGGGATTTTGATGGACATATTTTTCGTTTATGCGAATGTGCTGGAATTGACAATTAAAACGCTCATAACTTTTGCCTTTCATAGCATAATGGATTTCTTCTAACCCTTTTAATATTTCAGCTCTCATATAAAATCACTCAATAACTTTTGCCATATTGATAAGAAATTATTTGTATCAACTTTTTTAAATCTATATTTATGCAAATAGATTAACAAAAAATGCTTATAATTAAGCAGAGTATTAAGCGCAAAAAAGAACGATAAAAATTGAATGATCAACTTGAGGGTATCTAAGACTTTGTCCAAGGAAGGAGGGGGGGGAATATTGTCCAACCCGAAAAGAAAAAAATGTTCCCGTATTTTTTTTTAGATAAAACCACTATTTCATACGATCATTTAGAATGTTTTTAGAATAAAGGTTATTAGATCCTTTTTTAATAAATATATTAAATGAATATAAATAAACTTAATTAAAAAAAAAAAAAAATTGCAGTAATATAATATAATTAGTAACAACAAGTAACATTTTAAAATTTTTTAAAAATTTTATCAATATTATTTTGAAGTTTGACATTTCTTAGGGTGGTAGTTACCCCGCTTACCACCTTTTGTATCCGCCCCTGATGATCAATACTGTATACTTAAAATAAATTATTCAGCCCATTATTCATCTTTTTTTTTTTTAATAACTCAATCATTTTTTTTACGACAGCTGAGATGTACCTTATTTACTATTTTGTTTATGTATTTTTTTTCATATCAAACATAAGTTTTTAGTTATTCTAAAGAATGTTAAACAGAGAGAAGCAGTTCATGTAAAATAAAAAAAAGTATTGTTGAGCTTAAAAATTAAAGAACTTTAATAAAAAGTATTAGAAGCAAGAATACAAACAAAACAAAAATAAACTTAAATATGAAAAACTATATCATATAAAGGAATTTAATTAATAATGTATGTACAGATGAAGATCTAGCTGCATTATCTAGTGCAAACCTCAAACTTAAGTATGTTTATACTTATGCGAATTGGGGAGTTCTTGCAAAAAATTAAGAAGGCAGAGGCCTGGGAGCAAAATAGCCCTAAAACGCCACCCCCTCCCGAAAAAATGAGGAAGTGTAAATTTTGTTTGGTCATAACTTTTGTAATTTACAATATTTTTTTACGAAATTTAAATTCTGTTGATAAATTAAAGTTTAGTTTTGGTAAAGATGAAATTTTACTACATTAGTGCCATCATGCTTGGGCAGGGAGAGCAAGCGTTTTAGGGCTTTTTTGTTCCCAGGTTTCCACCACCCTAATTTTTTGCAAGACCTCCTCATTTAGCATAGTTATACTTAAGTTTAAGAGCTGGCAAAAATTTCACACATTTGGCATAGGCATACTTATGTTTTCAGCTTGTGCAAGCTTTAAACTTAAGTATACCTATGCTAAATGTATGAAAGTGTCCTATCTAGAATATCAAAAAATCCTGTGGGCGCCCATGCACACATGCCACCCCTTATATACTGACCCTGAGTTAGGCGTAATTCTGGCAACCTATTTTTTGAGTCGACAAAAAACAGGTATTAGCTGTGCTAGGCTAATGGGCTGGAGGCCCCCCAAAAAACGTATCACTTGGGTCTCAAAATCTCCCAAATTTTATTGCAGGTTTTGCTAAAATAAAAAGTTCCTTAATTTAGCAAAAGGGCACAAAAAATTTCCCCCTCCTCCCCCCTCCTCACTAAATTAAGGGGTACGGGTAGCCTATCCTCGGCACTGGGTTTTAGGCTTTGTTTTCGATATTACTGATCTTGCGTAGGATTCGTTTTTTACGGACTTACTAAATAGGGGTGCCTCAAAAAAACGTCAACCTTAAGTATAGTTTATTATTATTTAATTCGTCATTAAAACAAAAAAAAGTACCTAATGACTCGACCGGGAATTGAACACCGGTCTCCGTTGCTCCGTTGTTGCACCGGTCTCCGTTGCAGCATTAACCGCTCGATCAAGCGTCAGGGTTAGGGTTATCAAAGTGTAATTTAACTTTATTAAATTTAATATTTGCTTGTATATTTGAAGACGATTTTTAAATTGGGACCCTGTCCCGCAAACAAAAAGCTTTTGGGTCGTATAAAGTATCTAAGGTACCTTCTAGGGATGGCACTTTTACTTATTTTGATGTAAAAACGCGAATTACTTTTAAGCGCAAATTACTTTACATAGTTTTTTTAATAATTACTTTACATTAATTAGCTTACATAAAAGTAATTGGAAAAAAATTGTTATTTACTTTTAAAAATAAAAGTAATTTTTTCTTTGAAATTTTATACTTTACTTTGTAAGTAAGTAAAATGTAAGTTACATTATTTACTTTCTTAAAGAACAGTCATTTAGTGTTGATTTAACGTAAATTTTGAGACAGGTAGCGTATTCAAATCCATTTTGTGTTTGAGGGCACTTCTGGGTACTACTTCAGGTATGTGGACAAGTATATGGTGGAGCATCAGAAAAAATTTTTTTTTCACGTATATTAGAAAGGGTAGTTCTATTATAATTAGAGGCAAATATAGTCATGCGGGAATAACAGTAGTGTAGAGACGGGAACCCTGCCGCATGAGTGCCAATAGAAGCTGGTAAATAATCATTGATTTTTTATTTATTTTTTTTTTTGTTAAGTAGAAATAGGTTAGTGGCCATAATGAAACTTTGTCGGGGGAAAAAGGGAGCATAATTTCTTAGCTATGTGTAATTCATGCATGTGTAAACCCTGACTAAGTCACTGTTCGTTAGAGCGCGCTTTTTCTCCAGTTACTTCTATGTATTTGCCTTTTCAACCAAGTATTTTGTTATGGTAATATGACGCAATATAATATTTTTGGTACCCGCAAGGACATCAACTGCTACAACAGTATTCAAAAAATTATAAGTCATTTAAACTATAAGTTATAATTTATATGATTAAAGGAGTGTTTATCAGATATAATCTTTTATTGCGTTTTATCATATATAATGAAATTATATTGCGTTTTATCATATATAATAAAATTTCTATTTGAAAAAAGATGGTAAGAAAAGCTGTTTAATCTTCTAATATAGGTTGTGGGCACCCTAATAACCTACTTTTTGTTGCGTTGGTGTCCAACCCGCACAAGGACAATAGGACAAATAAAATCTTATTCAATTAAAATAGCGCTTTAGAATAAAACTTATAAATTTTTTTTTCAAACTTTATTTTGACTTTACAAGATGTTTGTCGGCTATCAGTTGTCCCGGAATCTTGCGATTGATTTTTCACTACCTTCCGGACTAGCTAGAGCTCTGAAACTTCCAGCATATGTGTAAATTTAATAAAAGTAAATCTTAAAACTGTTTTCAGAGCCAACTGGAGAACTCCACTTTTTGGAATCTCTTTTTTTTTTATAATTATTTTACTTTATCTTTTATTTAGACTTTACTTTGATCTTACTTTATCATCACAGCATTTGGGTAGTCCCAATGAAATTGCATGTTAAGTTTGTTTTCTGCAAAAAGGGTTGTACCCTTTATTTTTTTCTCTAATGTTTTATTTTTTTCTAATAATTGAGGTCTTTAACTTTTTAGATAGAGTGATTTTTGCAAAAAACCTTTAAAAAGGCAATTTTTTTGGTTTATTTGTTTTAGTACTAATTTTTTTGTCGGGAGGAAATAAGTTTAAATTAATAAGTTAAATTAATGGCCCTGATAAAAATTTACCATAAAAGAGTCGTGCATATTTGTAGCTATGCTGCTGCTTTTTGCTTCTCTTAATCAGTGTGGTTATTGTTAACGCTAATGCGCTAACTCAAATGCATATATAACAGCTTGGGGTGTGATACCCCCTTCACCACCCTGGTCCTGGTCGTAACAATCACTCTAACAGAAATGAAAATTTTTTTTTGTTTTTGTTTATTTATTAATATCTATTCATAAAACAGTTGTCTGGAATTAACTAATTTCAAATAGTCTATTTCAGACATTTATTATTCCTTTATTATTCTATTATCTAACAATTATTCTAGTTAGTCATTTCAAGAAATAACTTTGATTTTGGTTAGATTGGTTTTTAACAACCACCACGCTGAATAAAAGAAGCCTAAATGCAAAACTTAGAACAAAATTGCAAAATGCAGAGCCATTTCCAAAGCAAGAACAATAAACCACCCAGCAAACATGTCAGCGTTGAATCAACGTTGAAAACCGGTCGCAAAAGATGTTGCGGAAACGTTGACAAAGTAATCGATTTTGCAAAAATATGTAACGTTGTTTAAGAGACGTTGATTAAACGTTGTAGCTTAACGTTGAAAAATCGTTACTAAAAGACGTTACGAAAATGTCGCAACTAAACGTTGAAAAAGCGTTACTTAAAAAGCGTTGCATTGGGGTCGCAACTTAACGTTGAAATAACGTTACATGAAAAGCGTTACTATAACGTTGTTAAAGCAGTTGATATTGCAAGGATTTGTAACGTTGGTAGTAAAAGACGTCGAGTAAAGGTTGAAATATAATGTTAAATCAACGCTCAAATGCGCTGGACAAAATATCGCAAAATATTATTTAACGTGATTAAACTTGGCTATAATGTATATTGAATTTGCAAATAAAACAAAATTGTATGTTGAACTCTGCACTTGCAATATTTCCAAAGTCGATTTTTAATACAAATAGTAATATACAATGAAAAACATAAAAAATATACAATTTATATAAAATTTACAATTTATAAATAAAAATATAAACATCTTTTTTAAGATTTATGTGTGTGAGTGAATTTACAGGATTTACATGTGTGAGTAAAATTTGTGTGTGAGTGGATTTACAGGATATCGTATCGATTAGCCAGGATATCATTGAGATACAGAATCTAAATCAAAAAATAAAACTTGTATCATTATCAATCTGAGAGCAAATGTTTAAAAGATGTTATTGAATTAGTATGATCATTATTAAATTTAAAAAGTGAAAATATATATATATATATATACATATATACATATATATATATATATATATATATATATATATACATACATATATACATATATATATATATATATATATATATATATATATATATATATATATATATATATATATACATAAATATATATATATATATATACATAAATATATATATATATATTTATATATATATATATATATATATACATATATATATATATATATACATATACATATACATATATATATATATATATATATATATATATATATATATATATATATATATATATATATATATATATATATATATATATATATATATTTATCTACTATAGCATATTTATATGCGCAATTGCTCACTTTTTTTGCTAGCCTAAATAAGGTGAGCATTTTTAGAAAACGATGAGGGAAAACAAAGAATAATGAATGAAAATGTTGCTGACCCATACCAAACCCTCAGTCGATGTAGCAGCACTCCACGGCGAGTCAGGTTATTTGTCAGTCGATGTATGTACTGAAGCCCCCGGCAGCAGGCTATTTGACATTAGGTGAGTATGACATCATCATGCTCACCTAACTCAGCAGTATAAAATATATCTATATATATCTATGTATATTGTGATCGTCGTATATAGCTGGGGCCAGGGCCGGGTTTGAGACCAGGCTGCATAAACATTTATACATCCTAAAGTATATTTTTTAAATTTAAAATTCATGCTATTTTTTGTATATATATGCATATATGAACATCATTGCGATCAACATGATCATCATAACCATCATAATCATCATCATCACCATCATCATCATCATCATGATGATGATCATCATCATTATCATCAACAGCATAAAAGCGGAAAGCTTGACAATGATAATAAAAATTATATTGATGTTGTTGATCGTCATCATGATAATCATCATCATCTTTATTATGGCACTATGTAAGGCACACTCTTCAAATTTTCTTACTTCTACCACAACCATTTTATACTGAAGCTGCTACCACTCTACATGTTAATACCTGAATTACTTTAACTTTTTCTAAAAAAAAAGGTTGTTTGATACAAAGTTTTTTCTAATCTGTCTAAGATTATGCCTACTTTTTATATCTTGTTGGAGTCACACCACACATCCACCTGATCATTTTCTCTTTCGGCAAATACTACACCATATAATTACTAAAGTTTATACAACAATGAAAGGATATTGTATGCCAGCATCTAAACAAATAGCAAACAGATATGCTTATATCTATAATATGTGTGCAAAAAGTGCATCTTGGAAGCTTATATTGCTTCTGGAATAAAAGTTTGGAAGCTTTTATTACTTCTCTTCAGTTTTAAATCAAGCCTCATTCTACTCTACATCTTTCAACATTAATTACGTTTTTCAGCTTTTTTATAAGAACACCTCTCTTAAGAAAAAATTGTCCTTTTTATTATTGCAATAACCTAATGTATAAATAAAGTCTTGTCTGATGTAAATCTCTGTTATGCAAATTTTAAATCTGATCTCTCTTCTGTAATAACCGAAGGCTTGCTGTGTCTTATGGATTTAAAATCTGGACTTAAAATCCACAGTTTTTGTTAGACAACAAAATTCATTTATTTACTACAAAAAAATATTGCAATATTGTTACAAAAAAATATTGCAATATGTACATATATATATATATATATATATATATATATATATATATATATATATATATATATATATATATATATATATATTTATACACATAAATATTTATATATATATACATAAAATAAATATATATATATATATATATATATATATATATATATATATATATATAAATTTTGAAACAAAAATTATCATATATCCATACATTAATTAACTAAATAAAACTTACTTCAATAGGTGTAACTCTAAATCATCAATTTAAATCATATTATTTACTTCGCTCATAAGATGCAAACCAGTTAAAACCAAATCATTCCTCGATCTTTGATCTACCAGAACTTTACTAAATAAATTTATACTGGTAATCAAACTACCACAAGTCAAAAAATTTAGACAGTATTATTGAAATCAGCTTTGGCCAATAGTTAATATTTGATTTTTTTTAATTCTTCACTATATACAAAACAAAGAAAAGTTAAATCCGAAGAGAAACAAAATTATTCACAAACATAATTACTTACATTCTTCTTTGGAGTCCTCTTTAGTCGTGAAATTAAATCCTGCACATACTTCTTTATCTATTAGTAATTATTTAGTAAAATAAATATAAATAAATTATGTAAAAACAAAAATGTAGAATAAGTGTAAACAGATTACAATATATATCTAGGCAGTATTAATACCATAAACAGATTCAAAATATTACTTATTCCGAAATTAAAATAGTTTATTTGATATAGTACTTCACCGTTAATATAAAACTATAATAGTTTTTTTATTCATATAAAACAATTAAAATAGCAATACTTACTGTAAAATTTAATGAACTCCAGTTATTTTAACTATTTTAAGTCTAAGCTTGTTGCAGGAATCAACGATTGGAAAATTATTATAGGTAGCATTCATTGCATGAACACAAGTTGGCCAAAATAACCATCCACCTTTTTTCGAACAAGATGGAACCTCTGCTTCAAACCTAATGTATATGTAAATAATGTATATATAAATCTTTATATATACATTATTTACATACATATATATATATATATATATATATATATATATATATATATATATATATATATATATATATATATATATATATATACGTTTAATTCAGATAAAACTCAATTTTTTTCGGCCAATCGCTATCGCAATAATTTAGACCTTCCTATATTTATGAACGGTAATGTACTCGATGAGTCTCCTACCCTTCATCTTCTAGGATTAACTCTTACTTCTGATCTTTCTTGGAAACCTTATATCAAATCTGTTGCAAAATTAGCATCTGCTATAGTTGCTTCTCTTTATCGAGCTCATCACTTTCTTACTCTGGATTCTATTCTCTATCTCTATAAATCTCAAATCTGGCCTTGTATGGAATACTGTTGCCATATCTGGGGCGGATCTTCTAATGATGCCCTTTCTCTTTTAGACAAGGTGCAAAAACGCATTGTAAACATAGTTGGACCTGCTCTTGCAGCCAACCTTCAACCTCTGTCACATCGTCGTAATGTTGCTTCTCTTTCTCTTTTCTACAAATACTATAATGGGCACTGCTCTAAAGAGCTAGCGTCTCTTGTGCAATCTACTAAAATTCATTCTCGTGTTACTCGTCATTCAATTAAGTCTCATCCTTTTTCTGTTACTGTTTCTAAGTGCTCCAAAAACTCTTATTCGTCTAGTTTTTTTCCTCGAACATCAGTTCTTTGGAATTCGCTTCATCTTGCTTTCCTGATTCATATAATTTGCAATATTTTAAGTCGCCTGTCAATTGTTATCTTGCTCTACATTCTTCATCTTTTCTCTTCCAGTAACTTCCAACACTAATAAGTGGTTGCTTGCAACCTTGTTGAAAGCGAAGATAATAAAAAAAAAAAAAAAAAAAAAATGTATATATAAATGAATATAGTTTTTATGTGTATACACATAATTGTCATGTTTTGAAAATGTTTACAAGGGAGACTTGGAAAAAATTTTATACCACTGGATATTTGTCCACTAAAATACCTCTATTGACTAAAAAAGTTTGATTTATTACTCTGACAACTAACTTAAAAATGTCCAAATTTGTCCACTGACTGAGCTGAAATTTATTCTGTATAGATATACTTTTATATATTTATGTTTGTGTTGAGCAATTTTTAACAATCTTTAACCATTTTTCTTAACTTATAAAATGAAAACAATTTAAAAAGTTAGAAGTTTGCTGTATTTTAAGTTAATAATGAGGAAAAGAAAGTTTTTAAATTATTTTTAAATGCAGGTTGGAGATAAATTTCTCTTCAAAATTCAGAAAACTCCTGCCTAATAAAACTTACTTAATAAAACTAGTATACAAACTCTTAATAAAATAATAAATAAATGTTAAACTATATAAATATTAAATTCCTCATAAAATATTAAACTCTTAAATATTGATAACTCTTTAATAAAATTTCCAAACCATTATACCAACTTATATATTTTTCAATAAAAATGACTAGACATGACAATATTTTGTAATTAAAAAAAAACATGTATTTATTATACACACACAATATATATATATATATTTATATATATATATATATTTATATATATTTATATATATATATATATAATATATATATATATATATTTATATATATTTATATATATATATATATAATATATATATATATATATATATATATATATATATATATATATATATATATATATATATATATATATATATATATATATATATATATATATATATATATATATATATATATATATATATATATATATATATGTATATATATATATATATATATATATATACATATATATATATATATATATATATATATATATATATATATATATATATATATATTTATGTATGTATGTATGTATGTATGTATGTATGTATGTATGTATGTATGTTAAAGTGATAATTTTTAAATAAATTAAAAAATTTATTATGTTAACAGACTTAATTTAGTCTGACTTATTATGTTTTATTAATTTTGATAATATTTTATAAATGTGAATTGTATTAAAACTAAATACTATTTCTAACTAAGAAATAAATATTTAAAAAAGTTGAGCATTTTATTAAAATCGTCAACTTAAAACAAAATAAAACATTGACAAAAATAAGCAGAATAAATCGAATTTACCCTGAGATTTATGTACTTTATACATTTTGATTCAAAATCTAAAACTTTTAAATTAGTTGCAATAAAATAGGCTATAAAAAATGACTTTATTAATTTTTTTTTTATACCATATGCATGCATTCTATCAAGTTCTCCTTGCCTTTCCATTACGGCTAATTATTTTTGTAATGGCTAGTTATTGAGACAATAATTTTCAATATGCCATTTCCTCAACATTGTCAAAACAACGTTCTATTAATGTTGGCAAAGTAACACTTTTTCAACGTCTTTTAATTACCACATTTTCAACCAACGTTGAAATAACGTTGAATAAGTGTTGTTTTTTCAGAGCAGAAAACAAAAGAGCAGCTAATGTCTAACATTGATAAACCATTTTGATAAGAATGATAAGAAATTTCTTGATAAGATTTCTTATCATTTCATGATAAGAAATTTCTTAAAGACCTTAAGAAAACAGATTGGCTTTTAATAAACCAAAATGAGAACTATGATGTTAATAACTCTACTTCTAAGTTTTTGGATATAGTTAAAAGGTTACTTGATAAGCATGGCCCTTTTAAAATGTTCACCAAAAAAGCTACTAAATCTTTATCAAAGCCATGGATTACTAATGGAATCATTACATACATAAAAATTAAAAATAAATTGCACAAAAAATATATAAAATGTAAAAATGAGAATTTAAAATTAAAATACTTTCAAAAATTTAAATATTATAGAAATCAAATTAGTAATCTACTGCGATACTCAAAAAAAACATATTACTCAACCTACTTCAATCAAAATTTAAATAACCTTAAAAACACCTGGAAAGGAATAAAGAGTATTATTTCTATTAAATCAAAGAACAGCAATAATATAGATAGTTTAAATATCAATAATAAAACTATAATTAATAAAAAAATAATTTCAAATGCATTTAACGATTACTTTTCTTCAATAGCAGATAATCTTGCTAAGAAAATTATACCCCCTAGATTTGACTTCAGCCACTACCTAAAAAATAAAAATCCTAATTCTCTTTTTATATCCCCAGTTACTTCTCAAGAAATAAATGACTATACCTCTCTCATAAATCCAAAAAAAAGCACTGGACCCAACAGCATTCCTTTCAAAATTATGATCTTAGAATCTCAAGAGTTAACCTTCCCCTTGAGCATTATAATTAATCAATCTTTTTAATCTGGAATATTCCCTGACTTATTTAAAATTGCTGAAGTTGTCCTAATTTTTAAAGGCGGCTGTAAACAAGATCTTTGTAACTTTCGGCCTATATTCTTGCTTTCAAATATAGGCAAATTAATTGAAAAACTTATGTATAATAGGTTAAGCAGTTTTCTAAATCTATCAAATAGCTTATATAGTCTCCAATTCGGATTCCAAAAGAATCACTCAACAAACCAAGCACTCATAGATATAACGGAAACCATACGTGAAGCTTTGGACCAAAAACAGTTTGCTGGTGGAGTGTTCGTTGATCTGCAAAAAGCATTTGATACTGTTGACCATGAAATTCTATTATCAAAGCTCTATCATTATGGTGTGAGGGGTATCGCTCTGAACTGGTTTAAGTCATGTCTAAACCATCGTACACAAACTGTTACTATTAGTAATATCTCTTCCTCTATTAAGTTCATGTCTATAGGTATTCCTAAGGGTTCAACTCTGGGTCCCCTCCTTTTTCTCATCTATATAAATGATTTAAACATGTGTGTTAAATACTCAAAAATGTATCATTTTGCTGATGACACCAACCTCCTAATAGTAGAGAAATCTTTAAAAAAACTTAATAAACACCTAAATTATGACCTGGCATAACTGGTTCAATGGTTGCGATCAAACAAATTATCTTTAAATGCCAAAAAAACTGAATTAGTTCTATTTAAACCTGTAGGCAAAAAAATTACTAAAAAACTTAATTTTAGAATTAGTGGACTAAAGCTAAATATTGTTGATAAAATAAAATATTGTATGTATGTATGTATGTATGTATGTATGTATGTATGTATGTATGTATGTATGTATGTATGTATGTATGTATGTGAGTGTGTGTTTATGTGTGTATATGTGTGTATATGTGTGTAAGTATGTATATATGTATGCATGTATGTACGAATGTATGTATCTATGTATGCATGTATATGTATGTACATATGTATGTGTGTATGTATGTGTATGTATAAATTTGTATGGTAGGTGTATTTTTATGTCTGTATATATCATATATACAGACACAAAAATGTATATAATATACAGCTATACTGCTTCATATTGTTGTATTATTATTGATATTATTGCTATTATTGTTATTATTATTATTATTATTGCTATTATCGCTTATAATTAATACTTAACTTAACGCTGCTGCTCACCATTCGTGCACCTTTACACGGATTTTTTTACCATACTTGGCCTTTGAGTTTTATCATAAATTGCTTTACTTCTGAACTCGCCTAATGGGGCTCTTTCAAATCTTAATAATCTGTCAGTATCTGCTTAATCAGTAATGAGATCAAAAACTTTGTTTCATCAGCTTAATTAGTGATAAGATCAACAATTTTTATTTGATAACTTCTGTAGTAAAGGATGAACATTATGTTATTATTGAATTAGTAAAGTAACTTTTAAAGTCAGGTGATTTATTTAAATCATGCATTTTAGTCTTTTGTCAATTGTATTTAAATTTATTAATTTATAAAATTAATCTCTAATTTTTAAATTAAAAGACGACTCAAGAAGACGTTGCTCATTTCAAAGGTCAAGAGGTCAAACTCTTGATAAAGTTAGTGTTTAAAACACTTGCATCTCACACGGTCAACTCAATGTTACATGTTAAAGAACAAGATCGTTTAATACCTTATTTAAAAGAAGTTATAAAAATCCGTATAAAAAACCAGATTGTTTGATAGTTTGTTTTTGAAAGTTGTTAAACATTTATTACGAGGTATTTCAAAAAACAAAAATAAGGTTGTATTTGTAAAGTTTCAAATTTATATATTTTTCTTAATTTATATATTTATCTATATATGTGTGTTATTTATATTGTGTTTTATTGTGTATATATGTGTTAAGGTTATATGGGTTTATATTTTGTAAGTGTGTAAATATATGAAATGTTTCAATGTTTGTGGTGTGTTATATGTAATATGTTTATAGTTTGTAAGTGATAATTATGTTGTTTGCATGGTTTCAAATTGTTGTGACTGGGCTTAGTTTACAGCAAGATTGTTGACCTCGCTAGCCAAGTGGTGTACTTTGCTATAATGTGACCTGGCTTTGTTGAGAGCAAAAATATTGTCCTCGCCAGCAGAGTGGTGTATTGTCATAATAAAACACATAAATTAATTCTGTTTGTAATTAGTGTATTTCTAAAATGTGTTGAAAAAATATTGTTTAAAAAATGTGTTTTAATGTTGTTATCCTCTGTTCTTAACAATGTATGCTTTTGACAATAAATAAATTTTGTTAAAAAGCAGGCTTTACTAACAGCTCCTCCTCATTAAAATTTTTAAGAGTTTCGATTTTCTTCATTAAATATGTTTACCTCAAATTTTTTTTATATATATAAAAGTAAGTATACAGCGTGTTGAAGCATAAGTTTTAATAACTTTTGTTAAATTTTTAGGATTTTTTGTATAGAGAATGTTTTCTTTATATTATTATTTTAATGTTTTGTATGTACATCAATATATATATATATATATATATATATATATATATATATATATATATATATATATATATATATATATATATATATATATATATATATAGACACACACACACACAATAAAATATATAGAATTAAAATGTCTATACATATATTATATGTATAGACATTTTAATTTTTTTGCCTTAAATTATTGTCCCTTTTTCTTTAGAATATTAAATATCTAAAAAAAAAAAAAAATAGTAAAAGAAGTTTCAATATTTCCAAGTTTCTTCACTTGAAGCAAATATATGATTGTTTATAGAGGTTCTTTTAGTAGTTTTGTATTTATTTATTGCAAATCTTGCGTTAAATGCCTTTCAAAGTAATGAAAGGGTTTTGTTGATGGATGATTACATTTTATCCTTCCATGCTAGCAGTACCTGCTGAGTTGACAGGCCTTAAATTTTTTTAATTTGCTTTATTTATGAGTTCTTATATGTAAAAAATTTGTTTTTTAAATTACATTTGTTTTTTTTGATTAAATACTTATAATATTTTGTCAATAATTGATAACAACTACCATAAATATATAAACAATACTTAGTTGAAAATATTACATTAATTTATAACTTTAGTTTAAGTTTTTAATAAAACTATGTTATCTTAACACAATGCTATATATGGTAGAATATAATAGATTATAGTATTATGCTCTGTATTATTTGCTTACACTTTATTTTAGATAAGTTTAAAAAAGAAACTTCAACTTTTATTATATTAGGCATCATTTTTACACACTCCTTTGATGCCTAATTATGTCTAATAATTTAAGAAATGAAATTATTAGACTTCGTCAAAATGAAAGAAGGCAGGCTAGGCGAGCTGAGATAAACCGCCGTCAAAATGAAAGAGATGAGCCCAGGCGAGCTGAGATAAATCGTCGTCGAATGGAAAGAGATGAGCCCCGGCGAGCTGAGATAAATCGTCGTCGAATTGAAAGAGATGAGCCCCGGCGAGCTGAAATAAATTGTAATCAAAATGAAAGAAATCAGGCTAGGCGAGAACTTAATAGGTATAATATGCATCGCATAGCAAGAAATAATATTGCTATAGAGAGTAACTACCTCGGAGAATTAAACCATAATTGTCAGTATTGCAGTGCAAAGAAGTTTTTAAATGAAACTCATTTTTTGTGCTGCCATTCAGGAAAAGTTGCATTAGCTCCTCTTTCTCTTTATCCGCCATTGTTGACTGGTTTAATGACAGGAAACCATGTTGATCATGCTGTAAATCAAAATTTTTTTAAACACATAAGGAGTTATATCTTTGATCTCTTTTGCTTCCTTCACTGCCGAAATAGCTCCTCCCTCAAATAATGGCCCTTTCTGTTTTAGGGTCTGTGGGCAAATTTTGCATCGTGTTAGAAATTTAAGGCCTGCAGAAGGTTGTCTGCCCAAATATTGTCAGCTGTATATCTATGATCCTAATGCAGCAGTGTCATTCAGAATGGAACAACCTGGTAATGATGGTTGTATACATGAGTTAATGCAACTCTTGCAAACATTAATTAATCAAGAAAACCCATTTGCTCTTGCATTTAAAAACATGGCAGAAGTAAAGGATGAAGAAATCCGCCAAGCAGCTTTAGAAGGTAGACCAACCTCTGTTGTAAGAATGTCTTTGCTTGAAGGTCATGATAGACGTCGATACAATCTTCCTTCCCATGAGGAAGTTGCTATTGTGTTTGTGGGAGATGATGGTGCTCCACCTGCATCCAGGGAAATTGTTATATACCCTCGAGGTCAGCCTTTAAGAACAATTTCGTCTATGTCTGCAAATTTGGATCCTTTGGTATATCCAATATTCTTCCCAAGAGGTGATGCTGGATGGCACAATCAACTAGAGCACAACCCTGACCGTGCAACCCGTGTTAGAAACCATGTTACTTTGTCTCAGTATTATAATTATAGGCTTGCTGTTAGACAAACTTTTAGTCCTATATTCTATGGTAAGAAACTTTTTCAGCAATATGTTGTTGATGCATATGTCAAAGTTGAGGGACAGCGCCTTGCTTTTATTAGAAATAACCAAAACAAACTTAGAAGTGAGCAATATGATGCATTGCATGAACATGTAATTAATCGTGCTAATGATCTTAATGTAAGACCAGGCCGTGTTGTTATATTGCCTTCTTCATATGTTGGTAGTCCAAGAGCATTAAAAGAAAACTTTGAAGATGCGATGGCAGTCATAAAGAAATATGGTAAACCAGATCTATTCATTACTTTTACCTGCAATCCAAAATGGAGAGAAATAGTAGAAAATTTAAACCCAGGCCAAACTGCTAATGACAGACCTGATTTAGTTTGTCGGGTATTTAAAATGAAACTTAAATTTTTCTTAGAGGATATTTTTAAGCATGGAGTCTTAGGCAAAGTTGTAAGTCATGTGCAGGTTATTGAGTTTCAAAAGCGTGGTTTGCCACATGTACATATTTTATTGCACTTTGTAAATGCTGATAAGCTAGACTTTGTACTTTTTGGTCAATTTTTTTAGATATCATTTTAAACTACATTTGTAAGTAACTATATTATGTTTTATGTCTCATAAAAGTTTTAATAAATAATATAATGTAATCACTTATATAGTGACAAATCCAACTTCCTCAGTAACGTATGTTGTTGTACTCACTTATACTTGACTTAATTTATGGATTAATTGGTTTTATTGCATTTTTAATTTTCTTTTATTTATCTCTAGCTGCTGCTTCTTCTGTTACAAGTAAGTTGTTCTATTCACTTATACTTGACTTAATTTATGGAATAATTGGTTTTATTGCGTTTTTAATTTTCTTTTATTTATCTCTAGCTGCTGCTTCTTCTGTTACAAGTAAGTTGTTCTACTCACTTATACTTGACTTAATTTATGGATTAATTGGTTTTATTGCATTTTTAATTTTCTTTTATTTATCTCTAGCTGCTGCTTCTTCTGTTACAAGTAAGTTGTTATATTCACCTTTACTTGACTTATTACATTGATTGATTGCTTTTATTGTACCTTTTGTTTTTTAATATAGCTACAAATGTGCTTTCCAGTTTAATTAGTTAATGTAATAAGTCAAGTATTAGTGAGTAAAATAAATAAGTTGTTGTGCTCACTTGTACTTAATTTATTACATTATTTGCTTTTATTGTTTTTTTACAGTAGATTTTTTGTAAGTATTACCTTGGTACATAGTTGTTTTTATATATAATTTTTTTTTCAGGCTCGAAGTCATGGGAAGAATTCAGAAAGTATCGCTGCCAGCATCCAGGCCCTCTATCTATGAGGGCCTTCCATCGCTGGTGTTTGTATGGGGACGACCATCCCTCCTTTAGATGGAGGGATGGCACCCCATACAACACGGGGAATAGAGCGGATGCTGGGAAGAGAAGACAACGTGGCGCAAAAGTTGTCAATAATTTTTTTACATATTAAAATGTAAAGAAATTGACAACTTTTGAGCCACTTCATTTTTTTTTTTTTGTAATATATTTTTGTAAATTTATTTTTGTGTTGTTTTTTATTTTTCCCATGAATGTTAAATGTTATCAAAGTAAATCATTTAAATAAAGACACCTTTATCAACAATGCTCATTAACTAGAAATAAAAGTCACGGTCATACATTTGATAAAGTTAATGTTAATCTCAAAGGGATTTGGTTTTCACACAATCAAATTCTATCTAGCACCTTCCAGAACTAAGAATATAAGTGTGTGGTGTCAGTAGTTTAAAATATGTATAATAAACTCAGAATAACTCAATAACCCTCAACAAAACTATGAACTAATTTTTAAATTCAAGTTGAGCTTTTTTATTTATTAATACCTCCCCTCCCAATAACTCTAATTTTCCTTAAAAAACTAATTTTTTTGTCCTTTGGAGGTGGTTCTGCTATTTAATTAATTGTTGTGATGTTTTATGCAAATAGATTTAGCTCACATTCATGTTGGTCTGTCAGGGTTATGTAAAAATAAAAAAGTAAGTTTCTTATTCGCATTTTTGAGTTTTCAAAAGTATTGATTGCATGACATGTTAATTTGTAATTAATGTGTATGATTATGATTATGCGTTTAAATAACTTTGTTCCATTTTTAGTTCCGTTTCTTATAGCTGACTTGATTATGGCTTACCTAAAGCTTAATATTTATGAAACAATGATTCAATTTAAATTGTATTATAAGTAGCTCTGTTGAATAGATTTTTTTTTTGTAATTTGTACTAAAGGTTATATTTTTATTTTATATCAAGAAAAATATGTTTTTAAGTAAATATCTATATTTTTTTATTTTGGGATTTATTGGTTTAAATGGATATAAAAATCATTTTTGCTTTGTCTTTCATATTTCCTTTTATTATATATGAATAGGAACCATTTATGCTTTAATCACCATTAGCACTCGAAGTTTCCATTTGCATTAAGTATCGATTTTTGGCACACACAACAGGTTTAATAACTTAGGCAGTAAAAACAGCTTGAATGATTTGTTAAGAGTCTTTAAAGAAACGCTTTTACGAAAAGCATTAAATAGATAAAGCTAACTTATTTAAAATAATAAGTCTTTAACCCGTTTTTCTATATCCAAATTTACTTTTTAAATAAATGTTGATGAAAGGGTAAAATATCGTTATAGCCTACGTTAATTTTAAATTCTTTTTAAATTAAAGGAAAGAGTTTTGATACTTATTTAAATAGGGTTAATAAAATATTTTAAATTATATTATATATATTATATTTAAGAAATTATTAAACTAAATTAAATAAGATTTTTAGATGAAACAGTAAAAATAATTGTTTAAAATATGTGCGTGCAAATAATTCCTACAAATACTAAACGTAAAATAACGCTTACAAACACCAAAAGTATGTTTGCAGTGAATAAAGTTAAGTTCAAAGATAAATAGGAAGAAATGTTTAAAACTGTTTCAATGATAACATTTATTTTTAATTACTTTTGTTGTAAGTTGGGATGAAAAAAAAAAGTCACTGGAGTATGAACTCCCGGGGTAAGATGACTATAAATGTCTAAGTGTTGCGCGTCTACCAATTAGCCCATAAACGTATTTTCTATTTAAATTTAAGATTATTTATGACGCATAAGAAGTGTAATTAAAAATTCAAAACCAAGTTTGCAACAACTGAGTTTAAATAAAATGTAATTAGATGTGTATATGTTATGAACGTTAACTAAGGCGTACTTTAACGGCGTCACGTGTTGAATGTTTTAGCATTTTTCTAAGTTCGTAGTCTTTTTTACGTTTTTTCTTATTAAAATTTTTATAATCGGCATAATATTAAAATCGTTTGAAGTTTTTAAAAGAACATTTTAACAGAAATGTTTTTGTCATATCAAAAAGTAAGTATAGTTTTTTATATGTACATTTTTAAACGGTTTTAAAAAAATATTGAGGTAAGGAATAAGTATAGAAAAGGTAGGTGTAGAATAGATTTACTAAGACCCTTAGTTTACGTCCGGATAGCTATAGATAAGTATAAAAATGGTCGGTTCGGTAAAGACCCGTATTTTACGGGTCACCCCAGCTAGTTATTATTATTATTATTATTATTATTATTATTACTGTTGCTATTATTGCTATTATTATTATTATTATTATTATTTATTGTACCGTACACGGCTGTTTTACTCGGTTAAGGATTTTTAATGACATTCAAAATAAGGTTGCCGATTTTCATAAAAATCCAGACCAAAAAAAAATTAGCGCATGCGTTTTTATCGCCTAATTTTGGATGGTTTTAAATATCGTTTATCTATTTGAAATGTCATTATTAATTAACGTTTGTGCGGTGTACTAAAAGCTATAAACTAATCTAATTATCCTTAATTGTAAAATGGATGATGGCAATTGTTCCCATGATTTAGAACACTCATCGGGTATGATTTATTTCCTTTTTTTCAACACCTATTTTTTAAAATAAGTAATGTAAAACTACGTTACTATTTTTTAGAATAAGTAATGACCTTTATTTAGCAACTTAATGCCAGTTTAGTAACTTTACAAAAATACATGTCAACTACTTTATTGTTGATTTCCTCCCAATATTTGAAGAAGGACTACTTCAAATATTGAGACTACAAACTTTCGTTATATAGATTAAAACTATATCACAAAATAGCTAGTGGCACTAACTGTTTCGTTATATGGTTTTAAACCACATACAAATAATGACTTCTGCCTTTCTCTATTAAATTGGCTACATGCACTATAATTGGCTACATAGCTATATGGAAAAAAACTAGCTTGTAGATGTAATTCTTAAATAGAACGGCTTCAATGTTTCATATTCAGTTGATGTAGCATTATGAATGAAACACAAGAAAAAAACAGCGAGAAAATATCACTGAAGAGAACTTAGATTATAGAAATAAAAAAGCCTTTCTTTTGTCACCCTTCAGGTAAATAAATTGTTGTTTATGTCTTCCGCTAACATTATGAGTAGTCAGGCATTTTAATTTAAAAGAAAAAATGCTTTAAAATGCAACTTCAATATTACAAGAGTTAGAAGAAAAAATCTTGCAACAAGTAAGTTTCATTCAAATGAAACATACTTGTTGCAAGATTTAGTGTTTTGCTTTTCTCTTTTGAAGCCAATTTCTTTAATACTGAACATGCAACTATCCGGAAAATCTTTGAACCTTCTAATTTTATGAGATTTTGTCCTGCTTGATACATGGATGTGTAATAACCTTCCTCACTTTTTGATGATATTGTGATGATATATATATATATATATATATATATATATATATATATATATATATATATATATATATATATATATATATATATATATATATATATATATATATATATATATATATATATATACAGTCACAACAAAATTAAGTAACATTGTTGATAAAATTGATACTCTAACAATACAAACAAAATTATTTACGTCAAGATCTACATAACTGCAATAATTTTATGTTTTTTTTTTAAATTTGATTCCTAAGAAAAATAAATACATTTATAACATTTTATAATTCCTTGCAAAAGTTAATCTATTAAACAAAATTAGCTATCTCACAAATTTTTTTTCAAAAATAAATGTGACAAAAGTAAGAAACATTTGAGTTTTTATTATGAAATATAATGTTTTGTCAATAGCTATTTATTAAAAATGATTATTATTAAAGAGATTTTGTTAAATTTATTAAAAATAAGCATTTTAAACTTTATTTTTTCGGAATTTATTTTTAGAAAAAGTAAAACTAACAATAATAATGGTTCATCATCAAAATTATTCATTGGACATACGATCTCGGGTCATTTGTGATCGAAAAAAGGGCCTAACCTACAAGTAATGTGCAGAAAAATATAAAATATCGATAAGTGGTGTTAGAAAGATGTGTATAAAATTTGAAACAACTAGTTCTGTTGAAAATCATAAAAGATTTGGTCGCCCCCCTAAGACTTCAACAAGAACTGATATGCTAATTGCGCGAATAGCAAAACAAAATTCAACAATAACCTCAAGACAGATTGTTGAAAATCTTAAATTAAATGTTTCCAGTCGAACTGTACAGAGAAGACTTAATTCAAGTGGTTTAATAAACCGTCTTCAAAAAAGTAAACCCCTCATTAGTGGTATAAACAAAAAAAAAACGCTTAGCATTTGCAAAACTGCATATTAACAAGAATGAGGCATTTTGGAACTCAGTGTTATGGTCTGGTGAGAGTAAATTTCAAATATTTGGCTTTAAAAAACGACAAAGAG